GGCGTCTTTCGTGTGAAGCCTGGTTTGTCGCATACATAATAATACCAAATTTGGCGTCATGATGTAGGCGTGTGTATGCAATAGGAGATCCGAAAAATGTACGGACTTAATGAAAAAGTTGTGTGATTTGCAGGAGTGGCAAACTTTTTCAGGCTAAATAGCTCTGTGCCACCTAGCAAACTATCCTTTAGATCCAGATGCTTGAAGTTACACGCTTTTCTTCCTCAAATAAATAATTGACAACTTCTTTTTAGATCCCTAGACTATATCTCACAATCAGTTCCTATCCGCCTTCAACCCTTCTCTCCTCTTAGTTTCAGCCTTCAGAAAAATTCCATAATGACGCGGGCCTGCTTCAGAGCGCGCCAAGAACATTACACCATTAGTGGGAACCATTTAAACGCCACTGAGTTGTTTAACGGACGTTCAGGTTTTTTCACTGTTCTGTTCTGCTTTCGCAATGTTTCTGTTTATTCTCCAAAGTGCTTACATGTCGTAAATTTTCTGCAAGTTGACGGTACTTGTTTTGAAAGTTACGGCGCTGCTTTTTGTAGTCTGCTCAACATTATATCCATCTTTTGTCTACTTAACGTCATTCTCTTCTTGTACATCGGTAACTCGTCCACTTTAAGTTGAGAAATTTGTGGATGCAGCCCAAGTTTACGAGGGTTGATTTTCAGGCGGATAGAGGAGTACATTGATCTTCAAGCTGATGTTATTCTATATAACCGCTTCTACAACTCTGAAGTGGCAGCTGGATCGTACATCGTTAAGAACACCGCGTGGTCACGAAATTTTTTGCATGGTAGGTACTTATATCCAAACCTTGATACAGCTCTTACAACTCTGCCCCTTAGAGTTCATCTTATCATTAGTTACCCTGCCTTGCACATATCATTACTTGTGATATAGCTTCTAAGGGGGTCGTCTTTTGTGTATGTGTGTGAGTCTGTTCGCCAGTTCATAGAGCGGGGTCCAGAGAAGCTTCTGAGCCGATTTTTGCATGACATTACCGGCACGTAGGTCCACTATGCAAAAGGAGTCAATCCGCTACGCGGATTCTTCAATAACTGTACGTTATATGAGTCCACACGACTTTAGGTCGGCAAAACTGGATAGGTAATTGAGTTTTTGCAAGGCTACGGATTTGTTTCACCATTAATTTCAAAGCCATGGAACTCAGTTTAGCATAGAAGATCCATATAAAAATCTGTGTAAAAACGGAGACAAAAGAATGATTCCGTAGACTTCGATGTTACGGCATTGAATGATGAATCGAAAAAACTTTTGATCAGAGATTTAACAATGATTATAGTCTCTGTAGCGACTAGATCAATATCAAAATAATTTCGAAAACTATAACAATCTTATTCTGGAAAGTAGCTCGTTCGTTACACCACATTAATATGCCGATTTTGTGCAAGTTGCTCATACTTTGTTGTTTAGATGCTGTTTTAAATTGTTTCGTTACTTATCATAGATGAGTACGGATGTAGAAGTATGTTTAATACTTGAATGCATCATAACTGAATTGCCGGGGCTCGGCACGAGGTGGCTAGATGAAAATGCAAAAAACTAGGCCCCCCTTGAATTTTGCGAATTTTTACGAATTCCCTTTTGACTCTAGATCATAATCCCTAAAAACTCTCCAAAAAACGAAACGTCGACTGAAAAAAACGTCGCAGATTTTGTGTCTTTTGTCAAAAACGAAACCCCTTTTGCTTATTGTCCCGAAAACGGTATTCAACTTGCTTGTAAACCACCTGTGCCGGACCCTGTGAATTGCACAGTAGCTGATAGCCCGATTCCAATATAATGAGCCTAATTTTGACGCTGGGTTATCTGCCAGCTGCTTATTCCTCTAGGTTTTAAAATTATTTAGGCGACAACACTTGGTCTAGCTTTGGAGGCCTTTTTTGAAAGAATCATCCAAATAGCGTGAAAACTAAATCTAGTGTAAGGTGAGTTGCTCGGGCCTGAGCAAAATGGGTGCAGAAGATTGTAAAATCGATGTCCCATCAGCCAACCAAGCAGAATTTTACTTCGGCACTGTAGAAAACCGCACCTTCTCCCGAGGGCGCCCAGTTTAAGGAAGTGACCTGCGAAAACATGTGCACCCATGGAGTTTGAGTTTTGCTCACAATTGAGAGACTGTTTTATATCTTTAATCTTTGCTACTCGAACACGTACTAGACTTGAAGCTTTTTGAAGCTCTCTTGAGATTTCATGAGTGATAGATAGACAGCTCTTTAATAGGGCTCCATTTTGATCGCATACAACATATGTGCATCTCCCAGAATTGTTCTCATAGATACCATTAATATGGCTGTCTTTCAATCGTTCTAACTCAGCTTTTTGGCAAATTTAAAGCGCTTAATCGAACTTGACACGTTAAAAAGATCGAAGGACAGCCACGTTAACAGTACCGTTGGGAACATTTCTGCAAAATGCACGAAATCTTGGAATCCCGCCGCTAAGCTACAATTTGGCTGACGGATGTAGTAGGTCGTCATATCCGCTTTCTTGAACTGTCATAAGAACACGAGGAATAAAGATAACATTTAATTGAACTGGCTTGGCTCTGACAAGGTGGGGCTCCGCGACTTAATTAAGGCTAGCTAGTGTCAGAGAGCACCCGCGCGAGAGAGACGCAGGTGCGTCGCGGGCGCGAGCGGCCTTAATTACGTCACAAAACCCCGCCTTAACGAAGCCAAGCTAGTTGAATTAAAGGTTAGGCATACTTCAAAAATTATTCGACGCAGTTTTTCTTTCTTTTCTCAACACTAATGTCTCAGAACTGTTTGCTTCTGCAGATAATCGCAGAAATGATGAACCCATAGATTTCACCATATCCAGGTTCGGCAATTTTCTGGATTCTTATTTCAATATTCTGGAAGTTTTGGTAAGAGCTAGATAAAACAAACAAATTGCAACACTTTAGACTTCGGCATCTCCATTTATCTTCCCAAAATTCTTGAAATTACTTTTCTGATATTGACAAACTCCATATCTGTTCAAGCCAATTTCACAGAACATCCTGACAAACAATTCTACTACTATTCGATGCAGCTTCTTCCCTCTTTCTATTAACGTTCAATTCTTGAAACCTTCGGGAATGAAATTTTGTTGGGTTGTTAACCAATTTTCATAACTTCCTTCATAAGTCTTTTTAAATATGGCGCTCAAACTTCGGCATTATGCGGCAAAATTGCCTATGTGGAATGCCTTGTGTGCTACAAGTGTGTACAATTTGTTTGATTTTTGATGACGGAGATAGAAGAAATTGAAGCATTTTTCAATATTACAAATTTGAAAATCACTAGATTACAAGCAAGATGGAGTCGTTCGCAGCCTAGACTAATCATATCGAATCAGAACTACCGCAGAATTGTTGTCAGAGATTGGATCTTCAAAGGCACCGCTTCCATTCAGAATCTCAAATTCCAGGCCCTTATCATTTTAGGGCCTTCTCATGTTCCTGACTCCGAAAATAAAGTCGAGAATCCGCGAAAACCCCGACAATCCTCGTTCCGGAGAACACACAGACCGGCTTTCAGGAATGATGATTGGATGGGCGCGCATAATGGGCGGGCATGGATGGGAAGGGCGGTGCCATCTCTGGGTCCTCGTAGATCTTCGCTATTTCGGAGCGATTTTCTCGCTTCCGATACGAATTTTGCGCCGCGAGTTGGACACTAGCTTAGTAGGGGACCTGCTATCATATATTGACAAAAGCTCAAGGCCCTCAACTTAGGGTGGACGGAGCATTTAAGTTCGTCAAAAAAAGTCGTGGTAGCTGGAGAACGTCCGAGAATTGGCGCCATCGGAGAGTTCACAAATGCTGGTGAACGCAAAATGATACTGACGTCCATCTATAACTTGTGAGCGAAATCTCAGAATCTGCCGAGGCTTTGCAGTATAGGGTAATCTTATATGCTAGACGCGTCCATCACATCCATTTGTCTTCAAACTAAAAAGAATTTGGTGATCTTATAAAAATGCATTGTCTTGCAAAATGAGTATAATTTTCGTAATCAGCATGTCGAGAAACCCCCTTAACCAATTCTCAGCTAGAACTGTAACAATGTGGAACAATCCGTGTTTTTCCTTTTCACTCCTACCGTATCCTTTACTCAGGTTTTGGGGTTCGGGACAAAGTGCTGGATTCGTAGATCACATCATAGTCTAAACTCCCAAAGTTTGAGTGTTCCACATAGAAAAAGGAAAAAAGCTTGAGCAGAAGTTGAACTTAGTTAACAGCATAATAACTGTGAAACTTTTGGATGCGCCTATGGCTGGACCCGAAAATTCAAAGCTTGTAATCTCCAAAGCGATGATGATTTGTTTCGTGGATTTCTTGATGATTGATGCATTCGCATACCACACGATTTTCCAAAAGCGACTTGTGGAAAAATTGTTTCATGCGGAAAAGTTAGTCGGAGACGCCCAAAAATTCTGTTGTGCTACGCTTTGTTTACTGTATCCGCCTGTTGTGATAGTTCTCTCAGATGTCGAGGCTAAATTTTACGAAAAATTGCCGGAGTTGAGTGAATATGATTTTGAACGGCAATCATTTTGGTGACCAGAAAGCAAATGTTGTTCACGTGACTGTTGAAACAGGAAGGAGAATTGCATCAATAGTCTCTGAGATTTTTGTCCACCCACGTGTTTTTATGACAGGTTAGCAAAGGAAACTTTTGAAAGGACTTTATATATAGAAGCAAACATAAACTTATGTTTGCGGTATTGAATGATAGGGTTACTCCCGTACTACTCTTACTGTTAATGTAATCGCTATGTAACGCTTCTATATGTAAACGCAACTCAAAAAAGAAGACTCGCTTTTGATCACAACGTTGTGTTGAAAGTAAAACTTTTGACAATGCACGGTTAATTGAACTTTAGTCAAATTAGAAGTGTTTCTTGATAAATACCATTCAGGTTTTGCGAAGTATTATACATCGTTACTGAACGTCTCTACTGAAAAGCACAAGCATCAGATGTTCGTGCGTAAGGATAATTATGATTTTATGGTCAGTTCACTAATCTAGATGCTACGTACATATGTAGATATGTGTTTTTTGGTCATATACTAATGGTTAAAAATTATGCTTTAAGCTCAGGCCTACCTCGGTGAGGTCCTTATCCCTGAAAACGCGGGTTTACCCATGTGCATGGACATATTCTACAACACAACAAATTATTTTCAAATGGGAGTCTTTTCAAAGTGTGTAAGAAGATTATTTGAAGTAAACTCGGAACATGTCAAGATATACCCTAAGGTAGAGTTCTGCTTGTCTGTCAATCGCAAGAGCATGAAAACACTAGTATGTTTTGCAGGGCACCGCTTGGGTGCGTGACATTTGGCTTACTAACAGTATGTGGAGCTTGAGTGATTTTATGCTGCATGGTTGCAAGGGTAATGGCTCCGTTGCAGATAGTAAACCAAAGTGAGTTAAAAGCCGTATTTTTTTTACAGTCGGCACATGGGTGTAATTTTATGCTTGAGTATTTACTGTGTTTTCCGCAACAAATACATATATGATCTTCTACCCGAAAAGCTATGCTAAATATAAGTTGTAATGAGTCATTGAATGCTTGTTTCCTGTCGAAAACACAAGCAAATCAAAAACAGCCTTTGAATGAGAGAATCTCAAAAGGCTTGTCACCCCACATTGATCGGCGCAAGCCACGGGTAGAGTTGAAGTTGTCACAGTTGTTGAAGCTCGTTTGTCGCAAGCGGCGGAAACAATCTCGAACGCGTAAATCGCTGACAGAGTTGTTACCATTACGACGTTTGGTGTCTTTGATCGTTTTCTTGTCTTTCTGTGCGACTAATCTTGCTCCTCATGTTTGACTGTCGTTTGTATGTCTGCTTATTGATACGGAAGCAGCAGAAATTGAACTTTTGATCTTGACTGTTTTTGAGAGTTCAAGTTATGCGCGAACAATGGTTTTTGATTTGCTGAATCCACAATCGAGGATTGCGATCACCTTCAAAGTGTCCTTCATAGTGTGCATTTTGGCAACAAGCACGAAGCAAAAAAAGCATTAGAAATTGTATGTTCTAAATTCGACTGCAAGAAATCGCCCGGGTTGCTGTAAACTGAACGCACGCGAGCGTGACTGCAACGCGGCTGCCGAGAACGGGCGCTGTGGTGGCTCATGCGCGCGAATGCCAATGTTAGCCTGCAAGAGACACGCTCGCGGGCGTTTAGGCCGGGCGATTTCGAGCAGTCAATTATACATATTCAGCTATAGACCACCTTCGACGCTCGAGTTTTGCTTCTGCCGCCTGCAGCGCGAGCGCGAACCTTAGCTCGTGGCTTCTTACGACCGATGCGGTGTGACACAGCCTATACATCAATATGCATTATTCCCACACTTTAGATTAGCAAAAGGCTCCAGTCGCCTCTGGTACAATCCCTTCACTAAACCATTTAATTTTACCGAGTGTGCTCATGGGTAAGTAAGATTTAGTTTCAATAAATACATTCAGTAAAAATTCCGCTTAAGTGCGCTTGCGGTAGATTGAGACTCGCAAGATTTTGAAGTGAAATTTACGCGTGGACAGAAAGTCATGCTAATGCCGGGATTTTCGCTCGCGCAAATGGCCGGCATTACTGGCATGCCCATTGCTTAACGCTCAGATTTTACTTCAAGATTCCGGCTCCTAAGCACAATCATATTGAAGTCTGAATAGTTATCAGAATAATAATTTTCCTTATTTCATAGTTAATTCTATTATTAGACTAGGTTGAGTTGGGGATGCAAAAGGTAACTGTTCTCTTGAAAGCAAGTGGGTGATTTTTGAGAACTTTATGATGGGTTAAAATAGACTCGAGGTATAGGACCGACGTGATACGTACGCACTCAGTTGAATGATTATGTCACTTACTCATACCTCCTATTGTTCAGCAATACGTCGTGGAATCACAATAATGTACTGATCACTTCTAAAGAGCAAATTGAATCTCGCTTACATGAATACGCGAGGGAAATGGAAGCGTTGAATGCAAAAGTTGTCAGAGAATTAGAATCTGGATGCTCACCATCGCTCATTGAAAGGATTATTCATACGGCTAAAGCTTATTTGTAATGCATATTTGTTAACCGTATATCTGTATGCCTTACGTGGTTGCGGCTTATTTCTTTATGCTCTCTGATGATCCAAAGCTTTAAAAAATATGCAGAAATATCTCTTCACTCTACTGTGGTCAGTTTTGTTTGCGTATAAATGTTTTCAGTTTCGTTCTTGTTGTTTTTTAATGGCCTCTTCCTTTTTGCTGTTGTGGACTATCAATTGGTTCTTTGGCTTGATGGCGTCAGATGGATATGACAGTTTTTCTTATTCATGATAGATTAAGGCGTGCTTTACCATCGTGTTGCGTTTCTTTTGTTACCAATCGCATCCTCATGGAGGGTCACTTTTTCCATTAGATTGATTTTTGGGATTGAGATTTTTTAGATTGAGAATGTTCCTATTCGAAATTTGTCAGATCTGTTTAAAGCTTAGGGAGGTAAGTTGGTGGATACCTAGCTAACTTATACCCTTGCTTGAACCGCTCCTCCAATTTTCCCTTAAACGGTAGCAGTCCCCATTCTTCACCTGTCATCCCAACTTATGCAGGCGTATCTGGTCGTAATTTTTTCCTTTGTGGTGGATACATTATCCCTATGAGTAGGTTCTTCGCTCATCGAAGTACGAACATTTTTTGCTCTTTGTCTAGGATGACTGGCCCTGTAATGACAGTACTTCATAGATCAAATGGTACATATTGAGTGTAAAGATGCAGAAGAAGATAAAGATGATTACTTTAAAACTACTCACATGATCGCCGTGGGTAGGCGGTCCGCAAATTCGCGCTTTTCTGCAGGCGGAATTTTGGGGCGCGGCCAAACCTTGAGCGGGCAGTCGCATATTCTGCCAGCGGGCAGCAATACAGCATTTTTTGCAAGCGCTCGACAAATAATTTCTTTCAGCGAGCGCTGGGCAAAGTTTCAGCAAGCGCTCGGACTCTTTACAAACAGTTTCGGGCGTACGCCGAGAAAAGGTGAGACTCTATATGGCAGAGGTGTCATTGACGGTTTGATTACCCGAGGTTTGGGGTACCTTCTTTTAGCGAAAAGTACCCTAGTGCGGCACTTCACAAAGGACCGTGCGACCCCCAATACTGCATATTTTTACGGAAAGTCCGTGAGAATGCGGCCGCTGGGCCGCAACTTATCCACAGAAAGGCCGTGATAGTTCTCCAAGCGTTCATTTGAAAAATTGGCCCAAATTATTCCGATTTCTGCAAGCGGGCCGCAAAAAATCAGCGAACTATTTTTCCGGTGCCCGCTTGCTAAAATTTTGCATGGCCGCCTGCCCCGGCGATTGTCTGAGTACATGTAGCATAACAGCAGCGCTGATGGAACACTAAAAACACAATATCAGCTGAATGAAGTTAACCCGAATTAATCGTTTTTTATCAGAAGTAGTCAAAGTGCTTCTCCTTCGTATCTACCACGCTTACTTCCGCAGAAATTAAACTGTGTTGTCGTTCAGCAGCAGTAGTCTTATGGCTACAGCTTAAAAGAAAACTTCTATAGTTGCTTTTCCCAGAAGATTGTAGTTTGTAAATTGCAACGACAGTCAGCTCTACGATGGTTAGAAAGTAGCTAAGTGTCATGGATTCTATCAGCAATACTGGCAATCTTCATGTCATTGCATTAGTAGCCTATTAGTAGGTCAAGTCAGAAAATATGGGAGCTTGTTGGTAAGAAATGGACAAATCAATCGCGAAAGGAAACAGCGGAAGCAAATACATCAAGAAGAACAAAGAGAAATTCAAATGGTATGTGCAAGGTGCAGATTCTTGCTTAGGCAGTGGCAAAACCCTGAAAATTCTTCCTTAAGGTTATCTCACCCCCAGAAGTCTGCCTGGAAATGGCAAAAAGAGTATATCTTAATGACCTTTTTTGATATTGGGAAAACAATTCCCGTCAAATTTAAAGATGCTAAGTTGCGGGACCCTCATGGTTATAATATTGCAGCATGGCCTACAACGGAAACAAACCGCGAAACCAGAGCGCACAAGGTTGTTTTGAACGGACAAGCGCAAAACAACTGAGCACAATTTTTGACAGAAAGTGCATGTGCCGATAATATCGGCACCTTCTTTGTTGTATGATATCTGCTGTCAAAGTACCATAAAGATCATGCCATAAGCATGACCTGCTGTGATATAGTATGTTTATTGACCAGATGCTTATAACATACATCGCCACGCCTATCATAGTAAGCATTCTACTACAGCACCCACGAGTGCAGGTCGCCTGTCTGAATAAAGCTTATTAGCTAATGTGTTCTACATAACACACTCTACCAGGCGCTATTTCGCCTTAGGCTACTATAAAGCGCAGAACCATCGATACATTTGGTGCATCGGCCAAATAAAACCGATAAAGTGCTTCGCTTCCGACAGCAACACTCGAGGAACGATGAAGATCTCGCGCTTCCTCAAACAACAACTAACAGTCTCTACCAAGGAGCTCGCGGAACAACTGGAGAAGTTCGTATGCCACGATGAGAAAATTACTATTCCAGATGGCAGTTAAAAGCGGCAGGATTTATGCGCTCAACATCTGGAATCACTAGCGGGGTGCAAAATGGAAATTGAAGATGCCATTGAATCCCTACAAATGGATTACGACATATTGATGGAAAGATGTGAGGAGAAATCCGAAGCTGTGAAGAAGTTAGTGGCGGAGGAATGGGACGCGCTGGAGGAAGAGATAAGGTTTTTTGAAACCATTTTTGACGCTAAAAGGTTTCTATATCTCTTGCAAGACCGCATGGCAGATGATATGTTAGAGTTAGCGAAAACAGGGAGCTTGAAGAAATTTTCGAGCCCAAAGCTTATGAGTTGCATGGAAGATTCAGATAGGCGTATGAGGCAGCTGAGAGAAGATATACAAGCGAACTCATCTAACGGTGACTCACACTCCGTCCAAAACAGCAGCAGAGTCCCGAAGAAACACAAATTCTCGCTTTGGAAGAAAAGAGGATGAAATCCAGGAAATGATATCCAAAGAAGACTCCTCTGGATTGGGACAGGAAACGAGAACTGACAACGATCGATGCTCTGTGGAGCAAAAGTCTTTCCCACCCTGATACTCTTTTGCAGGGGCAGGTCATGGCGCCTATGGTGCCACGAGCAGATTTTGCGACAGCTGGTTCCAAAGCTGGTCTTCCCCTGTCTACAGTCTTTCGCTGTCGCCTCTGGTCAAGAATTTTGATCATCCACTCTGCCGACGTGACTCGTTCTACTCATCAAACCCCGCTACTGGATCCAGACAAATAGAAGCAATTGGGTAATAGACTAGATTTCTGATTTGTATCCATCCCCCTACATTGCTTGTTCTCATGGCCGGCCGGAGTGTGCCGATAATATCGGCACCTTCTTTGTTGTATGATATCTGCTGTCAAAGTACCGTAAAGATCATGCCATAAGCATGACCTGCTGTGATATAGTATGTTTATTGACCAGATGCTTATTAACATACATCGCCACGCCTATCATAGTTAGCATTCTACTACAGCAAACACACTCTACCAGGCTTTCGCCTTAGGCTACTATAAAGCCTAGAACCATCGATACAGTGCAACCGAACTTGCTCTGTTTTACCATATTAAAATTTTGCAATATTTGTTTGCCGACCATTACCTTCATTCAGTAAAAGTATACGTTGGTTTCTACCGTTTATAGTCTAGCGAAATTTCCGCTTGGTGTAATCTTGCCAGCCAAGATTAGACAACCTAATTTTTCCGTGAACAAATAGCTATGCCAGTAAAGCCTGTATTTTGCGCACGCAAATGGCAACGCTATTAAGCATCTTTACATTGTTAGTGATTTGAATATGTATGTAAAATGACAAAAATAACGAAAATTTTGAGGGAGTCCAGAAGAGATTAAAGTAAAGTTCAAGTGTTTTTTAGGCTAACATGTCGTTGTATAGGCGCGTATACGTCCCATGTTTTGTGTTCGTATAAGTCGATAGACACCGAAAGATTGTTCACAACGTTCAGAAAACTCATCCCCTCCCTTGCTAATAAAGGCTGCTTAAACCAGTTATGTTAATTATACCCCTCTCCCCAATTATATAAGTAGTGACAAAAGTTTAATAGGATGGTGTGTATGGCTACTAGAGCTTCACAAGCGGTTGATAGTTGCCTAAAAATTTGCTTATGATCCTCGACGAGTGCTGCCTATATTTATTTTCTTGTCGAATTAAATCACTCCCTGCTAAATGCCTCGACCTCCTCACCACAGTATCGATCAAAGTCGTTATATGCTGTAACTTACTGCGATCCGATAGAATCTTCGTGTTACGCATAGTGACGGAACATTTCTAAAAACAAAAGGTTTTACAGACACAAATGCGATTATCTTAGTCTTCTGTCAGATATGGAAACGAGGATCTTCGCGCGCAGGTTTAAAGAGCAAAAACCCTGCAAACACTTGTTCAGATTTCATTTGCAACAAAACTACTTCAATATTAGGACTCTTATAATATGAAAATATTGTTCAGTTTCCTCCTTTTCCGCAGCGCTACACTTGTCACAAAATTTTGTGATTCGATCTTTAGGAACTTTGATATCATAATGAAGTGCTGTGATAATATGCCGCAACGGCATTTGCTCTGCTTTCTACTAACCGCTGACATTCTTTCTTATGGGATTGTCTGCATCATAGGCTTGCTGTATGTTTTAAACATTCTTGTATTTGTCTCATATTATTTTACTGAGTCTAGCTTCAAATATGACTGGAGTTTAACAATTTGTGAACGAAAGGAGAATTTGTCGAGATATATTCCTAAACCTCGGTAAGTGTAACTGTTATCCTGTATACTCACGTTGCCAGTCGAAACGGAAAGAAAGTCAATATTGCCACAAGTGAATCAATATATTCCCTCACTCGAAACACTGGCAGCGTTTGGTGAGCCACGCATGATAAAAAAATTTTGGGATTACTCCGAATATTTGTAAGGGCTCGTAACCGCGAAATCATGAGAAAAACGGCCGGCGGTAACTAGCTTCATGTTTTGCAAACTTAATTAGATAATTGAAATGACTTTTAGGGTCTGTTTGGAGACCCTAAAAGTCATTTCAATTATCTATAAGTGAAACAATTCACATATAATTTCAAGCACGTGTAAGTAACTCGGAAAGGGGAACGAAGAGGGGAAGAAAGATTCGATCCGCTACTTGGACGTACTAAGAACCTACGTAAATTGAGCACTATCATACAGAACGAAGATAATGGGACAAGCAAGATTCCCATCATCCAATATTCCCAAAACCAAAAATCTGCTAGATTTGCAGTGTTCCCGCACACCACGTTTCATTGGAATATAAGGCACCGGTGCAGTTCATTCTTCTTGCAACTCTTCCTAAATTCCTTTGTGGGAAACACTCGTAACAGTCTGTTTCTATAGAACAAACCACTCAAGCACAGTGCCCCTTCAACCTATGAAATAAGTTCAAAAACTTACAGTTTTGCTTGTCTCAATCTTCACGAATTTTGATATAAACATGAGGCTACTGAAGCAAGACTCGTATAGTACATTCTATTAACTTTTTCATGCATCGCAACAAAGTAGCTGTTTGCCATTCTAGCCCCCAGAAATTTTGATTGTTAGTGTTAATATTGAACTAGACGTGACTAAATACGCGCAGCGTGTTAAACAAAGAGGCTGACAAGGTCTGAGGAGTTTGTGTAAATTGCCTTGCAATGGTAATTTTATTTGATTGTAAACATTGTAACAAAGCCTTACCCACTATCACGCGTTTTTTTTTGAAAAAAAGCTACATAATTTTGCAAAATTCGGAGGAAAATGCGATCGGTAAAATTTTAGGGCAAATTTTTGAAAGATAAGACGATTTCTCAAAATGTATCATGGCATAAGTTTTTTCCAAACTTACCTCTGCTATGTGCGCAATCATGATACTATTGTTATCAGTTTTGCAATGAATACAGTAACTATTAGGTTGATGTAAGACCTTGCGCATCATTTTTGAAAAGTCATGACTTCTTCCCCTCAACGGATTTGCGCAAACGTAGTTTTGCTATAGAGAAAACCCCTTCCTTTTTACTAATGGTGCCTTTGCCGCTTTCTAGTAAGTAAGGGCAACTTTTGAGATGAAATGGAAGCAAAAGGTTAAAATCACCTCAACGTCGGTCATTTTGAGCTAGGCTGCTAAAAATCTGACTGCGATAAAATTCCCCCTAAGAAACATAGTGGGTTTTTTGATCGCCATCAAGAAAGTTATATCGACTTATCATCTCTATGGAAAGTTGAGTTTCCGAAAAAAAATGCAAAAAAATCAAAGTGCTGTTTTGTATTGCTTACCTAATATCATAACTTCTACAAAGATGCTCTTTTTATACACATTGCACTGTTGGAAAAGGTGGATCAAAAGACTTACTATAATCTGGGAATTTTATTGCAAGTTTCAGTTTTTAACAACTTAAATCAAAGTGACCGAAGTTGAAGTGATTTTTTTATCCTACTTTCATGTCAGAAGCTACTGCTTATTAGGGAAAAAGGGAAAAGGCACCACCCAAAAAAAGGATTTTCACTATTTAACAAAATTAAGCAAATCCGCTGAAAGAGTAAGGTTCATGATTTTTGAAAATGATGCGCAAGAATTTGCATCAACTAAATACTTCAAAGAATAAGTTTTTTCAATTTTTTTTGAAGCAGAATGCAGTGTACATACGTATATCGATGAAATCTAAATTTGCAAAACTTCTCAAGAAAACATCAGACTAAATTGGATAGAAATAAATCGACGAGCTCAACAAACGAGAGAACCTTGCGCTTAACATTTACAGCACTGCTCATGGTACACAGTCGCTTCGCGTGCAGAAGGGTGTTCTTATTTCGAAGAAATGACTAGTTTTCGAAATTTGTGCACCAACATTCTTCTCGTGACGAAAAAAAAGCGATCATTGTTAGAACATACATCAATCACGTGCAACTTACAGCAACGACTGACTTGAGAGAAGACAGAACTTTACTGTAAAAAATGAAATTAGTGCAGCTGAAGATTTTTAAGCGCCTGGACTCAAAGCCTGCGACAGCCGGTGTCATTAAGCGTCATAACTGCCATAACTTGTAGCTCAACATCCAAACCGCAAAGCACATGAATGACCTATTTCTGTTTAGAAGTTCGCCATCACTGCAGTATCGAATAGCTATAGTGCAGATTGTAACAAATGAAAAAATGGAAAACTATAAGACGGCAATGGGTATGGTGCTTTGATTTGCTTTATCACCTTGAAATCTGTGTGCTTTATTTGATAATCACAAGTAACTTTATTTACCCGCTATTAAGTGCTCGTTGTAGCATATAAATTTTTGACAAATTTTTGAAATACTAATATTGTGCAACAAGAAGTAAAGACTTTTTGATCTTTGATCAGAAGTTTTTGATCTTACAATTATATGTGGGAGGTAAATATGCTAACACTTTCATGTTAGTTGTCAGTCTATATTAAAGCTACAATGATTTCACCTCTGCGACGTTTATCTTATTACATCTTTTTGGCAGCTCGCTTTGTGAGAATGTTATGGGATTTGTGGTTTTGAATCTATTATGCGCAAAATCGTCTCGCACCTTTCAACTACTATTCAGGGCATCAAGACCTAAGACTGTATACATTATATAGACCGATATGTTCTGCAAATATCAAAAAAGAATCACAAAGTAAACACTTGTTTGAAATTATCAGATTGACTTCAAAATATGGGTAGACAAAAAGTATGGGACATTCAGACAGCAACTAAAACTTCACTTGAATGAGTAACTAGGCGGTTGCCGCTGTTGCGCTCCGTCATAGCTTCATCTGGTTTTTCGTATGCGCATCTTGGAGCATGAGGAGAAAAGCATGTCGTATTTTTCGCACACGGCAGCTTTGGCTTATTCCCTCTTCTAACATGCTTGCTCCAGATCCACCGTTCCCCATCTAGTCCTTACACTGCGCTGCAAGGGTTCCTCTATCGACACTAACTTACCCGCCCTGTGGCTCTTGAATTACCGCGTGCTCACCACCGCAAAAATGTGAATTCTACTGCTTTGTTAACATGAGGTGACGAAACTTGTTAGCACAAGATGAGAACTCAATTTCACTGAAAAGTGCCAAAAATTGATAAATTAATAGAAGGGCCAGTAAATTTCCGCGAAAAGTATGTGCAAAGTTGGGCTGAGCTTGCGCGTTTCTTTAACGAACGAACAAAATCTAACATTACTGCAAAGTTTGAGTTTTATTTGTGTATAAATTTTAATCATCACTGACTATCTCGGTAACGCGCTGGTGCTACTCTCCCAAAAGTTTGGAATGGCGTCTCGAAGAAGTTAAACCGATTTTTGCATATCTCTTATCTTGCGCTTCTATACCGCAGAATATTTAAAGGGAATAGCAAATCATTTGAAGAGCTTTTTACTTCTTTCGCATAATTTATTATCTGTGCTAAAAAAATTTTATTTTAAAGATAAATGCGAAAAACTTGAGGGAATGCGGTTTTCTGGCGCAACAGGAACCCAAAAAATGATTTTTCAATCCTTGAGTTTCAAAAATGAATAGGAAATACCGAGGTTAGTTCCATATAAATGAAGCTCGAATAGCCCTGCCATATGATGACCAAAATGAGAGTTCATATGCAAAAAAAGTGACGAGTATCCTGTACCTCTCCATCCAGAGCCTCGGATTTACAAAGCTTTGGTGGGTCTGATGACAGTGTCCTACCCATGTGCAGCTCTAATACTCAAAGGCGCATGCACTAATATCCCTGCTGAGAAGGCGATCGCAGCTCAAAGAAAAAGGTTTATATCCTGGAGCTCCAGATATCTGAATTTAACGTTGTCTATTTATTCGTAAATATTGCTACTATTATTCATTACGAACATATTGAACAAGAGGAGAAGCTGTAGCTGCATTTTACAGATTTTTATATGATCCCCTGATGATCCCCAGCGCCCGACCGTCTTTTCTTCAAGGTCGTCCTTTTCTTCACAGTAAATGAAAATATGCCAAAGATTCACTGATTATCTAACCAAACAGTATTGAGCATGTTTCTGATAAGAAGAAATGATGTGTTGAAATCATAAAATTTGCGGTGAACCACAAGTCGAAGGTTAAGGTTTATTAAAAAAATCGATAATCCAAAGACTCATTTGTTTTTATCAGCAACATGCTTAGCAGGCAATGGACAGAATTTAACCTAGCCAATCCCAATAATCCTCTTATATCCTCGGACTCGTCTTAAGACGCTGATCACAAATAAATGTTTATTATCTAAGCAACTATTTGGGAGGAGTTAAGGAGTCAAGAGCGTTTAAATGTGCGATTTGTCAAGTGTTTCGTGGCGCAAATTCCACAAAATAGGTTTCAAAACACTCGTTTAGGTTTTTCGTGAATGTGCTTTTTTCTTGAAACTAAAAAAAACCATAGCCACGGAAAATCCGCGCCATCAAACTGCCATCCAAGGAAATATATCCGTCGAAGATTGAAAAATTTCTCATATTTAAACGCTCATAACTCAGATAATCGCTTGGCAGTTAAAAACGTGTATTTGAAATCACTGTTTTGAAGGAATTCGATGATATACAGCTCGTTCGGAATGGCTGGATTAAGTTCGAACCATTTTCTGCTTAGCACCGTTCGCTTAGACAAACGGCTCAACTTTGGAAGGTTTTCGTTAACTTCGAAAAAAGAAAAATGGCCTTAAAGAAAAAATGGCCATCAGGAAGGATCATGGGAAACGAAGGATCTGGGGATCATCAAGATATCATATAAAAGATATAGAGCTTTTCTTTTAAGCTGCGAACTCCTTCCCGGAGGGGATGTTAGTGCATGCGCCCCTTAGACAGAACTAGCGTGTTCCGCGTATATACTTGTGATTGAGAGTGACCGACCGTTCCTTATATGATTTGCAATCTCTTAGTCAATCAATATCAAGTGCGCGGGGAAGAGCGTTGTAAATGGCGCGCACACTCCTAGCCGATATCAATTCACTCAAGTTTGTCTCTGGTTTCCTTGTTGACCAAATTTCTCTTACAAGGGAAGGATAGTTGGACGCCGCGACCATTCCTAATGATTTGTATACCAAAAAATGCGCCTTCGAATGCAGATTCTGAATCTGTGCTCGAAATCTGCGAAACTATCTTTTGAAGAAAGTTATGAACTTTTTTCCTTGAAAATTTAGCCTATTTTTGGATAGTAAAAATCACCAGATTTGATCTAGCCTACCGTTTGATGCTACTGAAGAAAATTTTAGACGTAGTAATACTTATTTAGACTATCTGGATCATACTCAGCATTCGGAAAGGAAAGAAAATTTTTTTATTGATGATTTTGACTCTCCGCAGGAACGCAATTTTTTTAATTTTAAAAAATCATGACTCCATTCAGATTATCGTTTCGCAGATAAGAAAGACAGTCTACGAACCAGCATTCAAAAGCGCATTTTTTGGTGTACAAATCATCATTATGAATGGCTGCGGCATCCAAGTATCCTTCCCCTGTTAGTAAATATTGCTGTGATTCTTCTGTACCCCCCGAAGGACGAAAAAATCGAAAATCGTGTCTCCGAAATGAGTGGTGGACACGACCATTAACCTTGCATTTCAGCAACTATAAAAATACTACACATGCAGATCGCTTAATATGGGCTTCATTTGATCTTTCAGGATTTGCACGTCCAGTGAATGCTGGTTCTTGAAAAAAGCTACAATTACTCTATAAGTGTCCCATTACTTCATTACTTCATCACCCTGATACTTCTGTTGTAACACCTTGATCTCTGTAAAACTTAGGTTGTAGTTGTTTAGCTAATTTTATGTCAGATGATTTTAAGCTTCTTCTGTGACATAATCTGTCAGTCTTGCTCTAAGATGGCTAAATTTCAACGAATGAATTTTTTGATTCTAATTTATGATTTTATGCTGTAATGAATGGACAGGCGGGCAACTTGATAATTAATGCGCACAGTCTTGCTCTACACAGCGAACAAGAATAAAAATTAAACCCTAATTTCACGCGTATAAGATGCGGGGAATTTTTTTTCAAAATCGCACAGCACAGACACCCCTAGAGACTTCCCAACCGAAAAGCTATTTGGAGTGCTGCATATTGCCTGAGAGTATCGTGCGCTATAAGTCTCGTTTTTTTGAACACAACGAGGCGGCTGAACGCACGCTTGGAAAACCGAAAAAGGTGCGGCTTATACGCGTGAAATTGGGGTAATTTGCTTTTTTGAACTTTGTTGAAGAGATCATGAAATTTTCTAATATTAGAGCGAAATGAGACTATCGGGGTTTTTTATTTTTGCTCTGGCAGTTCTCTAGAAAATTTTTCTCTAACAAAGTGTACTTTATGATTTTCATCAAAATAATTTTTTTAGGGGTACCAAACATCAAACAGAAATTTTAGGAACAAAAATCTGCAATATTCTTACTAGAGACCAAAGTAAGTGAAAACTATATCGTATCCAATCTCATAACTTCAAAAAAGGATAAAACGATATTGAGTTCGCTAAGTTTGGCATCAGGCTACTGATAATGAAAGATAAAAGCTCTAAATTCACAGCTGAAGCCCTCTTTCCTGACGGCCTGCAATGAAAATGCAGAAAGTGCATTAGTATTGTGTATATTATGATTCAAGCAAATGTGAACGCAGAATTTGTTTTCTAAAAGTTAGCTAAGTTAGCTCTCATGCGGCTTGCATTCCTTTACAGGGTGCCTCCTCCCCCCCCCCCCACATGTTCTTACCAACGTTGCTCCCTCAGGTGCTTGACAAAAAACATGAATGAACTTTCCAATGGAGAAGGAAGTGCAGCTTAAAAGAAATCTCCATATCCTGCAACTCCAGAGATCTGAAACGGGCTTACCACGCACCATAAAGTGTTTTTACTACAATAAATATGTTGAACAAAGCATCCTCTGCAGGAAGCAAGACTCCCAGTTTTTGTATAATCTGCGGATGATCCCCGACAACCAACCATCTTTTTTTCATTTTTCCATAAAATAAGCTTATGAAAAATCCCAAAGTTGTAATAATCATCTATCCCAGCATGATAACAATGAGCATGCCTTACAAGGAAATGATCTACAGAAGAAATTTCACTGAAAACTTCAATGAAAATTTCAAGTCGAAACACTATCTGTAACTAGCTTTTTGTAATTTTAACTTTTTTTTGTCGGGCATCAATGTTCCCGTTTATTTCTGAATGCTGCTGGATTAGATAATTAGTACAGCTTTCTGATGTTTTAATTGATGCAAAGGAAGAAATTCTACTTCGAAGAGAAGACGGTTGGCTACCGAAGAACATTTGGAAATGATACAAAGCTGCATATGTTGATTGTGGTCTCTCAAGATGGATAGACACAGAGTGAAATGCTTTAGGAGTTTCAGAAGGTGCTTTTTTTGAAGGCTGCTTTCGTACTAAACTCGAAATCCGGGGACAGCTGGAATCTCCCGGACTTCGGAATCAGTATGACCCAGCCTAAGCTGTGCTTTCATTCTTGGAGGATGTTCATGCGTGCGGCCATAAAAGGCAGTGAGCCAACAGAAGATTTCCTAGGGGTATGATGCACCTGAATATGAGCCTACATTGTAAGCCTTAAGAGACCAAGCCTTTTTCGCTTTTCCATACACGCTAAACATTCCCGCCTAACTACCGAGTCCTCTATTAGCGCACACCGTACACCTCAGATAACAGGAAGTGGAAAATTTGTCTAATCGCTGCTTTTGTTCTTCATTCAAAAAAAACTTGTTCGAACTATCTCTCATAAACGTGCAAGCATCAATGAGAGATATAGTATATGAACCGATTTGGTTTCATTTTAGATAGTGTTAAATGCTACGCTTCTGCACAGGGGTACGATTTTGTACTTATTGACGAATCATATTTTGAGAAGGAGTGTGACCAATATCATGTGAGTTACCTTAGATGCACATTTTTTTGCCGAGAAATACTTTATTTTTTTCAAGAAATCATGACGGTAGAAGTCTGCGTCATCGTGATGGCTGCTTACAAGCTTTTACCCTTTTTTGATCGCTGGATATCACAGATATGGCACAGAGATAAATTGACGCACTTCTCTTACGCATATGCTAACATCTGGAGTTTAGTGCATAGGCGCGCGTCCGCATGTTATTGGAAATGTATAATCTAACAAGGAAAGGATACTAGGTGACCGTGACCTCTTGAAATAAAACGTACACCATTAAATGCATCTTGAAACGCTGATTCCAAATCTGTTCTCTTTATCTGCTGCGCCCTCCTCCGAAAGAAGTTATCAACATATCTTGTCACCAAAATTTGCACTGTTTTTGATGCTGGATTCGCCAATATCGCTAGAATGTTCGCTTACGCACTACAAAAGAACGTACAGATAACGTAATGTTCCACGTTCAGCACAGGAAAACTGTCACCGATACATCAGAGTCTAAAAAGCCTGGATACTGACAATTTTGACTGCCTAAATCTCGCAACAATATGAAAAAAAGTTCATAACTTCGTCCAGGGAGTCGCGCAACAGATAGTGAACATAGATTTAGGATCAGCGTTTCAAGACGCACCTACTGGTATACATCTCATTGCAAAAGGCCACGGTCACCAATCGCCAAGTATCCTTCCCTCGTAAGAACATATGCTCAGACAATCGCTGGGGGCAGGCGGGCACCGGAAAAATAGATTGCTGATTTCTCGCACCCCGCTCGCGGATTTTTTGCAAAGCAATCAGGACTTTTCGGAAGACCGCTTGCTGAGTCAGCGGATTTTTGAGAGACCGCCTGTTAAATTTTTTTTCGCTCTTATCTTTTGCTGATATATTGCTGAATCTCTGAGGAATCGAGAACTCAGCAAGCGGTCTTCCGAAAAGTCCTGGTTGCTTTCCAAAAAATCCGCGAGCGGGGTGCGAGAGATCAGCAATCTATTTTTCCGGTGCCCGCCCGCCCCCGGCGATTGTCTGAGTGTACTGCATTGATAGTAGTCAGCGGAGGTTGTGGTAGAGAACTTTCAGCATCAAAATTATCATAAACCAAAGCTTCCAGGGGTTACTGTTAGACCGTCACAAATAAGGCGAAAGAAATTTTTCAATGCGTTGGTCATCTCAGCTCATCCTGCGCTAGAGTTTCAAGTGTCATAGCGCATGTCGGAGATAGGTCGCAAAAATTTGTACATGACATTCATGACGCAAGATGGCATAAGAACTGAGAAAAGCATACGTCAAACCCAAGGTGGTAGGCATATGTAAGAAAAGTCAGTTTATCTTTGCCTTTTGAAAGGAATCAAATGGTTTCCCATGCAAACCATTTAATTCCATTCATATCCTCGATAATATAGAAGTAGGAACCAGAAGGTTAGAGTTATTTGGAACCTTTCTCTTCACAAAAGTGAAGGTTTCAAAGAAAACTAGAGACAAGAAAGAGATGTAAACCTTATAGCAAAATCAAAGGGAGCATCGAAAACAAGGTAATAACCCCGCGAACGAATTTGATATCTTTCTTTGCGGTCCTTTATAGCGCACGTTCTCGCTTCGGGACCTACCGGTTCACCGGGAGGAAAACGAATGAAATTAGTCTTTTTCTGCGATTGTCTCAACGGTAACCACGATTCGAATAAAAATTGTCAGGAGAAAATAAGCAGAAAAAACAACTAGTTATAAAACAAACAGTTTTGTAAAAAAGTAAAAATGCAGATTAGAGCCAATCTGATTTTGAAGCGTCTTTCAAATTGCCACGCCTTGTTATTGCCGTTCTCGGCAAGCTGTCTGCGCTGTTCTGCTGAAAATTCTGAGTGTAAACTCTAAAGTGAAAAAATGGTTGAGTACTTACTTTAATAACGCACCATAAAGCACCAAATCTTAGCTTTTTACCGCATATCTCGAGAAAAAAAAAGTAAGTTTGGCGACATCATCTGCATTATAGACAAAAGCAAAATCAATCAAATGTACGGAAAAACAACATGAAAATAGCTAGCAGAAAAGTGAAAAGATTTGAAAACATGGTTTTTGCTGAATTCCTCTCATTCATAGAAAATAGAGCTCGGCGAATTTTGGCCCCTGAAAATGGACATCAGTAGCTACAATATGGTACAAAGTACGTCAGTATTGGGTTCAGAACAACGAAGGAAAGGTACCAAAGCAAAATGCCCCGTACCCCGCGTGTGATTAAGCACGCAGCGCGCAGCATGTTGAGGCTTTAACGAAGAAGAAAGGGTTGAGCAAGACTGCGTAGGCATCGTATCAGATGTCCATAAAGGTATGGCGTGTGCGCGGTCTGGCGGTGTATGAAGCGGGATATACGCCAAGGTTTGTTGTCAATTCTCAGCGAGAGGTAGTGCGTTATATTCCATAAATATTTGCTGTTGACGAAACTTTAATAAGCGAAGTTTGGTAAGTCCTCGGTTTGTTGCCCATAGAATATAAATTACAACCCCTGAGCAGGGTGACGGTTTCTCTTATCGCAGTCCTGAGACGACATGTGTAGCTGTCGCAAGGAAGCACGTAAAATTTGTTTTGTCAGCTTGCTCTTCGGATGATGGTGAAAAGCTCGTAGTGTTTGAAATGACAGAACCCGTGCGCAGCTGGAGTGAATTTAAAGCATGCTCGTTTCAGCTGCTCAGAAGGAAAGAAATAACCCTTTTGCCCGATATTGAACGTGAAGCCTCCCCCTCTCTTCCGGCTTCCCATTTACCGTTCCCTACTCTCAAAAGCT